TAACTTCTACTCTGTTTTCAGAGCTTCTCCTATGTCTGTTATTCCTCAAAATAATCAGCCTAAAATAATCCTTATGCTAAAGAGGCATATTTTGGGTTGGCATATTTTACACAGTGGAGGATCAGAATTGGCCACCTCAGAATATGTCTCTTTGGCTTGATTATATTTAAAGACAAAAGACTCTGAAAGAAACTTTGACCTTCCCCCTAACTTCCTAAAATAATTTATGATAGAAAACCTGTCTCCAAGACAGGCTATTGCTATAGATAACTCTGGGTATGGTAGACTAGAAGGATTCTTGCTAAGCCCACTTTTATCAATTCTCTCTCTCTGTCTCTCATCACATTTTTGAAGTCTCTAACTGCTCCCCCCAACATCCTCCTTTGTCTTTAGCCGAAGATGATATTTAAGGTGGCGGCTTCAGCCATTTTGCCGAGTTATTCAGTTTTGCTGAGTTTCTCCCATGTATACATGTTATCAAACTTTGCTCTATTTTTCTCTTCTTATTCTGGCCCATGTCAGTTTAATTCTTAGACCAGCCAGAAGAACCTAGAGGACAGAAAATAGTTCTTCCTCCCCTATAGCACTCTTAAGGTCTATGATTCATTTTGAGGTAATTTTTGTGATGAGTGTAAGGTCTGTATCTGGATTCATTTTTTTTTTTTTTTTTTTTTTTGCTGGTGGACGTCCAGTTGTTTCAGTACCGTTTGTTGAAAAGACTATCTTTGCTCCACTGTATTGACTATTCTTGTTTGTCAAGGATCAGTCGACTGTATTTATGTGGGTCTATTTCTGGACTCTCTATACTGTTCCATTGTTCTGTGTGTCTGTTCTTTCACTAATACCACACTGTCTTGATTATTGTAGCTTTAGAGTAAGTCTTGAAGTTGGTTAGTGTCAATCCTCCAACTTTGTTCTCTCTACATAATATTGTTCCAATTTTTTTAAAAAGTGTTTTCCTCACCTGAGAGGAGTGTTCAGTATAAGATTTTTACCTATATAGATAAGGACATTAGGCCATCTTCCAGCTTTTTTTGGGATCCTCACAAAAATACATTTTGGTTCGCAATTATGCATTTGTTAAGACAAACAAACAAAGCTGAGGGACTAACAAGACAGTCTGAAGAGGAGCAATAACCCCTGTGTCGATTCACAGGAGTGAGGAAGAGAGGGGGCCTGGCCTTGGTCCTGAGATGCAGCATCAGGCCCAGGGCAATGAGTAACTTCTTCATCTCATTGCAAGTACAGGACCCAGGTAGCCCAGAGAAGCAAACACACCTCTGGCAACTGTGAAAATACATTGAAGGATCAGGATATCTTTGCAGGGAATGTACGATATTAACTGATGATCAGGAGAACTTAAGCCTGAAATTTTGTTGCCTTCATTGATGTCATTACTTATATTTCTTGAACTTTGCCAACTTCAGACATGCATAATCTATTACAATGCCTTTCCTGTAGATTATATATTTAGTTGTGTATTCTTGTTCAATTCCTATACTATGATCTCTATAAGTCCCTTATATAACTTACTTCCTTCAACAGCAGAAATTAGCTAACGTATGAAATGGAATCCATTTTTCTCTCTTAGCACATACCACCTACAGGGCTATCAAATTGAAACATCTTTATACCCGAAGGAGCACTTAGAATCTCCTTCCTTCCTTTATTGTTGATGGGCGCAAATGGCCCAAATCGCACTTTTAAACCTCCATTTGCTGCTGAGGCTACACCAGCACCACAGAATTGAGCAAATTGCTACAACTGTGTATGTATTTATTTTCAAGCTCAAGGTTGGATGACAATAATTTACTTTCCTTTATGCTATTTATCTTTTAAACCCAAGAAAAGAATGTATTGGATCATTTGCTGAAAAATTCCTTCAGCATGAAACATGAACAAAAATGTTATTGTTGGGAAAGTTTTACCACTACCACAAACTCACACTGTTCCCTCAGATTACTTGAATAATATATATATATTTTTGAAATTGATTGGCCCTCATGCCTTCTCCAAATTCTTCTTTGAGATTTGCTATATCTGAGAGATATCACCAAGATGACGACATAGGAGGCTCCTAAATTTCTTTCCTCCCACAGACACACCAAATATACAACTACATATGGAGCATTTCCCTCTGAGAAAAATCCAGAAACTAGTTGAGTTACTCCTACACATTGGCTGACTGAGATAATACCCACATCAAAATGGGTAGGACAGGCTGGGACATACTCTCTTCATAACTCTCCCCCCAGAACCCCCCCACCCTCTCACCCCACCTCTACCCAGCACAGCACCATGCAGTTCAGAGATGTCAACTCAAAATAACCAATAACCATTCTATAGATAAGAGAGATAAGGTGAATTTTACTTGAGCCAGTGTGGTGATTATAACCTGAGAGGGCCTTTTCCATAAAGGAAGAATACATTCCAGAGAAGCATGGTTTTCAGTACAGTCTTATACATTTTAGTACAAAAATTATACATTAGACACACCCAGGATACATATTAATCAAAGTTTCAAAGAGGTATTCAGTTGCAAATTAGCAGGTCAACATGACCCTTATGTCAGGAAAGGGAACGTATTATATGAATAGTAATATGGACGTTACCAATAGGGCATTACTAGCTTTGTAGGAAGGGAAGTATATATTCTTATTTTAATAGTTAAAGCAGATGTACAATGTATGTTTGATAGGCCATAAGTCAGGCTTTTTAGTTCAAGCCGAATCAGTTTTGAACCCAAATAGTTACACCACATACCTCAATATGTGAAAATCTCTTGTCAGAGGGAACCTCAACTCCCAGCTACTCCCAAAGGAGCAAAGGGTTTGGACCACACATTTAGTGTCCCGACTTTTAAGACAGTCATCTGAGGGATGGGCCTCCAAACCACCTAGCTCTGAGAGCCAATGGGGAAATCCCACAGGACTGCAAAAAAACAAAGAAGTAGTTGTCAACTGGCACTCGGGCACTTAACTTGGCTATCCTCCCAAGGCTCAGCAGAGTGGGAGCAAGCAAAGATGCCTACCTCCCAGTCTTTCCCTGGAAGGAGTTAGACTGCACACTTTACAAGATGCTGCCTGAGGGTTTGGCTTCTAATTCGCCTGCATCTAGGTACTGACTGCAATCCTCCCCAGACCCTGAAAGAATTGGTTGGCTTTTCCCCCACCTTCTTCCTCCAGCTTGCTTCAGCAATAAAAACAAATGACTAGTATCCTCTGGAAGGAGTTTTTCCACATATTTAGTATCTCCAATTTTATGATTGTCACCCAAGGAATGGGACTCCAAATCACTTAGCACTGATAGCCAATGGGGCATGCATTCACAAGTCCTACAGGACTGTGGCAAACAAAGAAGCAGTTGTTAACAGGCATATAAGCACTAGCTGTGGCTCTCCCCACAAAACTCAGTGAAAAGAGAGCAAACAAACATATCCATCTCCCAGTTTCTCCCTGGAAGAGGTTTGACTACATACTTTTCCAGATGCTCCCTGAGGGTCCAGCTCCTTATCAGCTTGCACCTAGGTGTTGACTATGATCCACCTGGGGGCAAAAAAGAGCCAATGGGTATTTCCCTTGCATTTTCCTTCTGGCTTGCTCCAACAATAAAACCAAATCTCCAGATTCTCCCTGAAAGGAGCTTGTCCACACATCTAGCTGCCCCACCCCTCAACACACACACTTTTGCAGCTTCCACTGAAGGGATAGGCCTTCAAATCACCTAGCTCTGACAGTCAATAGGACTTGGCATCACGAGTCTCACGGGACCATATCAAATTTAAAAAAATAATAATTTTCAAACAACAGGCAAGCACTTCCTACAGCTATCACACCGGGGCTCAGCACAGAGGAAGCAGGCAAAAATGTCCATTTCCTAGTTTCTTCTTAGAAAAGATTTGACTACATACTTTCCCAGCTGCTGCCTGAGGTTCTGGCTTCTAATCAGCCCAGGGGTGGGAACTAACTGAGACCCTCCCAAGAGCCTGATAGAGCTGGTGGGCATGTCCTCCACTACTCTTTCCTCAGCCTCCTGCAACAGTAAAACCAAGCCTCACCTCTCCCTAGAAGGAGTTTGTTCACACGTCTAACACTCCAACTGTTGTGGCTGCCACACAAGGCACTGGCTCCCAAATCACCTGGCCCTGGAAGCTGATGGGACTCGGTATTCACGAATAGCCCGGGACCACACAAAACAAAGAGATGGTTCTATTTGAGTGCATAAGTATTCCCAGTCACTATTCCCTCTGGCTCAGCACAGAGTGAGTAAGCAAAAAACCTAGCTCTTGATTTCTCCTTGATGAATTATAGACTGTATATCTAATATCCTGACTTTCTCAGCTGCTACCTGTAAATATTTGGCTTCCCACTAGGCTCCAGTGGGGAGCTAAATGGGCAGGCAATTAGTGGTACTCTAGGAGCCTGAACAGGCATACAGGTATTTCCCACACCTTTGGGACACTGACAGGTCTTAGCAGATCCTCAACTACTGGGAATCACTAAAAACAAAGATGGCAGCTTAGATCATCACATAGTTTTGAGAGGCAACTAGGGGCTTGAGCTGGGCTGATTAATGAGGTTATCTCCTACACGAGACCACTCTATCAAGATGGGAGAGGTGGCTGTTTTATCTAATGTGCAGAAACCAACACAGAGAGTCAGGAAAATGAAGAAACAAGGGAATATGTTCCAAATGAAAGAACAAATGAAATGTCCAGAAACAAATCTCAACTAAACAGAGATGTGATTTACCTCTTAGAGAATGGAAAATAATAGTCATAAGGATGACCATCAAGGTCAGGAGAGCAATGCATGAACAAAGGGAGAAGTTTAACAAAGAGATAGAAAGTATATAGAAGCACCAAACAGAAATGATAGACCTGAAGCATATAACAACTGAACTGAAAAATTCTATAGAGGGGTTTAACAGCAGACTAGATCAACTGGAAGAAAGGATCAGCAAACTCAGACTGGGCGGTGGAATTCACTCATTCAGAGGAGCAAATGGAAAAAAAAAATGAAAAAGAGTGAAGATAGCTTAAGGGACTTATGGGACATCATCAAGTGGACCAATATACACATTATAGGGGCTCCATTAGAAGAGACATAGAAAAGGCCAGAAAGCTTATTCAAAGAAATGATGGCTGAAAACTTCTCTAACCTGGATAAAAAATAGATATCAGATCCAGGAAGTCTGAAGAGTACCAAATATGATGAATTTAAATAGATCCACAATGAGATACATTATAATTAAATTGTCAAAAGTTCAAGACAAAAAGAGAATCTTAAAAGCAGCAAGAGAAAAGCAACTTATTATGTACAAGGGAATCCCCATTAGACTTTAAGCAGATTTTTCAGCAGAAACCCTGCAGGCCAGAAGATAGTGGGATGATATATTCAAAGTGCGGAAAGAAAAAAACTGCCAACTAAAAATACTCTACCCAGTAAAGCTGTCCTTCAGAATTGAAGGAGAGATGAAGAGTTTTCCAGACAAACAAAAGTTCAAGCAGTTCATCACCACTTGACTGGCCTTAATAAGAAGTTTTAAAGGGAGTTCTTGAAGCTGAAATGAAAGGACACTGGTGAGTAACATGAAAACATAGGAAAGTATAATACCCACTGGTAAAGGTAAATATATAGTTAAATTCAGAACACTCTAGTATTGTAATGGTGGTGGGTAATTCATGTCTATTTAATATAAAGGTTAAAATACAAAAATATTAAAAGTAATTATAACTACATGTGGGGATACAGTCTGAGAAATGCATCATTAGGTGATTTTGGCCTTGTGAGAACATCATAGAGTGTATTTACACAAACCTAGATGGTATAGCCTACTACACACCTATGCTGCATGGTAGTAATCTTATGGGACCAAAATTGTATATGTGGTCCATCATTGACTGAAACGTAGTTATGCATTGCGTGACAGTATAATAATTTGTTAATGGATACACAATATAAAAATGTAAATTATAACATCAAAAACATAGAGTGTTGGGGAAATGTAAAAATGTAGAGTTTTGTATGTATTTAAAGTTAAGCTGTTATCAAATACACTTAAAATAGCCTAGTATAACTATAAGATACTTTATGTAAGCCTCATGATAACCACAAAGCAAAAACCTATAGTAGATACACAAATGATAAAAGGAAAGAAATCAGCATACCACTATAGTGTACCATCAAATAACAAAGGAAGAGAACAATAGAGGAAGAAAGAAACAAAGGAGGCACAAAACATCTAGAAAATAGTGAATAAGATGGTGTTAGTAAGTCCATACCTATCAATAATTACTTTAAATGTAAATGGACTAAATTCTCTAATCAAAAGATGTAGAGTGGCTGAATGGATAAAAAACAAGATCCAACTATATGCTGCCTACAAGAAACTCACTTTAGCATTAAGGACACACAGACTGAAAGTAAAAGGATGGAAAAAGATATTCCATGCAAATGGAAACCAGAAGAAAGCAGGGATAGGTATACTTATAACAGACAAAATAGACTTTAAGCCAGAAACTGTAACAAGAGACAAAGAAGGTAATTATATAATAATAAAAGAATCAATTCATCAAAAGGTTATAACAATCATAAATATATATGCACCCAACATTGGAACACCTAAATATATTAAGCAAATACTAACAAACCTGAAGGGAGACATGGACAACAATACAATAATAGGGGAATTCGATACCCAACTTTCAACAACAGATATATCATCCAGACAGAAAAATCAATATAGAAACATTGAACTAAAACCAAATTTTAGACCAGATGGAGTTAACAGGCATACACAGAACATCTACTCAACAGCAGCAGAACACATTCTTCTCAAGCATACATGGAACATTCTCCAGGATAGATAATATGTGGAATCACAAAACAAATCTGAACAAATTAAGATGACTGAAATCATATCAAGCCTCTGTTCCAAGCACAATGGTATGAAATTAGAAATCAATTACAAGTAAAAAACAGGAAAATGCACAAATATGTAGAGATTAAACAACATGCTCCTGAACAACCAATGAGTCAATGAAGAAATCAAGACAAATCAAATCTTGAGACAAATGAAAATGGAAACACAACATAGGAAAACTTATGGGATGCAACAAAAGCAGTTCTAAGAGGGAGGTTTAAAGTTATAAATGTCTACATTAAGAAAAAAGAAAGATCTCAAACAACCTAACTTTATACTTGAAGAAACTAGAAAAAGAACAAACTAATCTTCAGAGCTAGTAGAAGGAGGGAAATAACAAAGATCAGAGTGGAAATAAATAAAATAGGGACCAGAAAGACAGTATAAAAGATCCATGAAATTAAGAGCTGTTTTTTTAAAAGATAAACAAAATTGACCAATCTTTAGCTAGACTAAGAAAAAAAGAGAGAAGACTCAAAGAAAATTAGAAATGAGATATTACTACTGATAACACAAAATACTCAGGATCATAAGAAATTACTGTAAACAATAATATCCCAACAAATTAGATAACCTAGAAGAAGTGGATAAATTCCCAGAAATATACAATACTGAATCATGAAGAAATAGAAATTCTGAACCAATTACTAGTAAGAAGATCTAATCAGTAATCAAAAACCTCCCAACAAAGACAGTCCAGGTTCAGATGTCTACCAAAGGTTAAAAGAAGAATTAATACCAATCCTTCTCAAAAGTTTCCAAAAAATTAGAGGAGGGATCACTCCCAAACTCATCTTACTTGGCTAACATTACCCTGACACCAAGAACCAGATAAGAGTACTATAAGAAAGGAAAACTACAGGCCAATATCCCTGCTGAATATAGATGCAAAAATTCTCAACAATATAATAACAAACCAAATTCAACAGCACATTAAAAGGATTATACACCATGATCTAGTGGGATTCATCCCTGGGATGCAGGATGTTTCAGTGTATGCATAACAATAAATGTGATACATCACATTAATAGAATGAAAAATAAAAATTATATGATCATTTCAATAAATACAGAAAAAGTATTTGACAATATTCAACATCCTTTCATGATAAAAACTCTTAACAAATTAGCTATATATGGAAGGTACCTCAATAAAATAAAGGCCATATAGTACAAGCCCTGAGCTAACATCATATTCAACCGTAAAAGGCTACAAGTTTTTCCTATAAGATCAGGAATAAGGCAAGAACGCCCACTCATGCCACTTCTATTCAATTAGAATTAGAAAGCCTCGCCAGAACTACTAGACCAGAAAAAGAAATAATAGGCATCCAAATTGAAAAGAAAGAAGTAAAATTGTCTCTGTTTGCAGATGACGTATATATAAAAAACCCTAAAGACTCCACCAAAAAACTGTTAGAGCTAAGTATGTAATAGCTGATGTAGGATTGTAATACTTTTCCATATTATACTTTACATAGCACATTTGTTCTGCTACTTCTGGGGACACATATGAATAAACTTTTGCTGCTAATCAACATAGAGAATTCTACAAAATTTTGCTCATATGGGAAGTCTCTCTTTTGCAGATAAAATTCTGTGATGTGAACAACTTCCTTTGTTCTCACTGTTCAAGGTTAATCAGATTCTGACTGGGGACTATAGGCTGAAATTACAGATTGTTTAAAGGAACTGGTAGTGACCGAAAGAAAGTAAGGAATGCATATATTTGTGTGTTTACTATCTTTTTCAAATTTTGGTATCAGAGTTATAGTTGCTAGACATTCATGAAAATGTAGAAAAGTGTGCAATTTCATCTCTGTGTTCTATAGCAATTGAAATATTATAGAAAGTCTCTGTTTCTTAAATATTTAAAAAAAACTGCTTGGGGGCTGGCACCGTGGTCGAGTGGTTAAAGTTCTGTGTGCTTCGCTTCGGCGGCCCGGGTTCACAGTTCAGATCCTGGGCACAGACATCCTCCAGTCAGCAGCCATGCTGTGGAGGCATCCCACATACAAAATAGAGGAAGATTGGCACAGATGTTGGCTCAGGACTAATCTTCCTCAAGCAAAAAAAAAGAGGAGGATTGCCAATGAATGTTAGCTCAGGGTGAATCTTCCTCACCAGAAAAAAAAACAAAAAAAACCCCTGCTTGGTGAATACCTCTGGACCCAGCATTTATTTGTATAATAACTTGAGAACATTTTTTCTTTATTTTTCCCAGCTATTGTTCTATTAAGAATTTCTAATTTGTTTTATTTAACTGTATTTTTATAGAAAGCTGTCCATTTTATTCACAATTTCAAATGAATTAGTTGGGGAGAAGGATATATAATATTCAATTGTGATTTAGGACAATGTCACACTTTGGCTAAAATACTTTTGAATTTCCATTTTTTCTTCTAATTAAATTGTCTAATGTTTAGTCTATTTCTTCAGAGAATCTCCCTTGATTCTGTCAGTTGAAACATCTTTTCCTATTTTTTACCATTAGGAAAATGTTTTTTCCTGTTCTCTGCTCTTATTTTTACAAACTCCTTTGTCTCATTTTTTAGAGATATGTTATATTTTCCTACCTCCGTTTTTGACTTAACATAGAATTTAATTTCTCGTGTCTAGAAAAGAAACTACTTATGTTTAAGAATGTTTTACTGCACAAAAACAGTTACCCTTTGGTGAATAAATGAAAAGCAATAAGATATATTGAGAAATATGAGGAAGCCATTGGGTTTAAAACTAATTCACCCTGACCTTGTTTTTCTAGAAATGCCTGACGTGGCGTGTTGAGCATGCATTGTACATCTGCTTTAAACATTTATAATGTCCCAAAGCCAAGAATGATGGTCACGGCAGGGCACTGGCAAACATTTTTATTTTAAGAGTTATGTATGTGTTTTTAGGATTACCTTCTGTTTACATCAAGCGATACTAGTTTGTACTTATAGAAGTGATATAAAGTTTTCCTGTTAAGTAAATTCATTTAAATTTTTTAAAGTGAGTCATCTCAAAGGAAGAATAAAGAAACAGCATAGGTTTTATGCCAATGACTAAAGTTACAGGTGGGGATGTTGTCTCCCCTCACATCAGCATTTCTTTAAAGATAAGCATTTTTTCCCAGAAACGAAGGATTAGTTACTAATTAATCTGTGCTCCTTTTGTGACCACTGACCTGCTGTGCTAGCAAAGCATCTCGTGACTGTAGTGAAAGAGATATTCCTGTCATACTTATGTATGTTCCTTGTTCCAAGATGTTATATATCCACTCTGTTCACCCCACTTCTTTGGAGTGCTATCTTCCTTGGTGGAGGTTCTCTCCCAGACTATATGGTCCTCAGGATTGGCTCATAATAATCTCACCCAAAATTTGATTTATAGATTGACTATGGATTATTTGCATCAACACCTTTAAATCCACATTATTGTAGGGGCCCATTTCCGAGAACACTTTGACAAGGAGACCAAGGACAGAATTTTCCAGAAAACAGAATCAAACAATGTGGGCTGGTGCTCTTTAATGCATTATAGTTTTTTGTCTTTTTTGTTTCTAATTTGATGGATCAATCCCATCCACTAAGAGATTGGTACAAAACCATATATGGATACACTTTGTGATAGGATGCAAAATATCCTTAAAATTTGAAGATAATCCCAAAGATCTCAGAGACAATTTAGGTGTGTGAAAGGATATTTGGATGATGCCTACAGAATCCTCAGGGATACACAATCTAACTCTTCTGCCTTTAGGAGTAAAGAAAGACTGGTTTAGTCAAACTACACCTGAATTTCAGCAGGATGCCTCAGAGTCTCTATTGATTTTTTAAAAATTGGTTAATTAGTAGTGGATTCTCATTAAAGAGGTTATTTATAGAAAGAGACTGGACCTCCAGCTGGCAGAGATATCACAGCTGGAAATCAAGTAGAATTGCAGTTGAACTCAATCAGATTTAAATTTCTTCCTAACGTTCAGGACACTATGTGGTCTTGTTGTTTGCTTCTTTGTTTACTTACAGACTTTGAACTTTTACATGCATTTTTCATAACTTTTATTGTTTTTTCATTGTTCCCTAATTGGGACAGAGGGTTGTTAACCGTTAGCTCAGAATTCCATATTCTTCTTTCAAAGTTCAGAATGGATAAACAGTCTTTATTGATGTTTCTTTTTCCTTTTTTAAAGATAAGTTTCATTTGTCTTTGATACTTTATGTATATAATTTCTCTTAATTTACTTTGTGTTACCTTTTAAAAACAGAAATTTCTAGATTTCTAAAATAGTAGATTTCTAGATTTCTTAAAAACTATAAATTGTTTTATTTTTGTAACATAAAATGTGTCAAATTAAGAAATTTTTTTCCTTAATGTATTTTGTAGGCATAGAATGGCTGTTATTTTTCTTTTCCTACACATAGCTCCTTTCAAATATGTTAGAGGGTAGATCAAAGAAATATACGTATTTGTAATTATAAAATAAACTGCTAAGCAGAACAGGAAACAAAATGGCTAATATCCAAAGCTATCTGTCACAGTGTATATTAATGTGAATGTGTATCATTTGTACTCTCACCTAAGGCAAAGAGCTGAGGATGATGTGGGAAAAGGCTTAGTTTAAAGGCTAAACCTGTGTACTTTCTGGTTGGGTGAAAATCAGTCATCAAGGGCTCAATTGTCATTTAACGAATGTTTAAAAATCTGACAATAAATTGAAAACCTAGCATAGAAGCAGTGATTGTTAGTAATGCTTGCAGAGCATAGCCTCCTTCAATCCTAGGCCATTTTTGCTTATTAAATCCTTCCTTGGCTAGCTTTCCTGCTGTGTACCACTCACTACGAAAAGCAGGCACTTGCAAGGCACAGCTGGAGACCAAGTATAACAGCATTCAGAACCGAAAACAATCTAAAATTTCCTATGATTTCCCCACATGCTTACTTAAGACTGCTAAGGTTTCTATTGTCAACCATTTTATGTGTGTGGGGTTTCTGATTAATTGTACGACTTGAAATGCTGCTTGAAAAACCTGAGTCATAATAACGATAATATCTGGACAGTCTAAAAGTTTTTTCTACGGAGTTTAAAGTAGTTGGCTCTTGTTGTATAGGCAAATTGGGAAAAATATATCTATCCATTGTTTGGAGGCATGTTAGTTAATTGTCACTAGAACTAATTTAATGAATTATTTTCCAAGATAGTGCAGGTTATACTAAAGACATGGACATCTTTATGGGTTCAAGTTTATTTATTTCTAAAAGAAGGTGGTTGGATTAGATTATTGAGTCATTTTTCAATTATAAAATTTTATGATTCTAAAAAAAATATTTAACATAATTCTCAAGTATAAACAGCAAACATTCAAGTCTCAGGTCAATGTTTTTTTTCAGATCTCTCTGTCTTTCCTTCTCTGTCTCTCTGTCTTTCTCTTTTTCTTTCTGTCTCTGGTTACAAAAAGTTGCTGGAGGCAAGTACAAAGGCTCTCATAAGACATTCACATAAAACTACTGTAAGTCTTTGAAGTGATACAGGTACTTTGTACAATACTAAAGTATTTGGAAGTTCATGCATAAAAGTATATTTAGAGGACTTCTGGTTTCAGATCTAACATGTAAAGAGCTTGGAAGTCATCACTCCTATCCTTGCAACAAAAAAAAGTGAGAAAAACTGAAAATCACTGACTTTTCTTGGAACTTAAAGAGAACTGAAGTCCAAGAGCAAACTACCACCTGAAAATCTGGAGAAAAAGGCATATACAGAGAGACATAGAATCCAAAATCTGCTTATCTAGAGCAGAAGCAGCTGGAGATACAAACTGGTAAAAACACTTAATGGTAATTTTGATGAATTGCTGGAAGCTGAGAGTGGATTAACATGAGGCTGAGAAAATCCTGGAGGGCACAGTCTTAAGGGAGCCCCCACACTTTCCTGGGCTTTCCTACTAGGTATCACAGGGAGGATCCTGGTTCACCACCCCTATGTCAGTGATAGAGCAAGCAGGTGGAAAATCAGTAAAGGTATACAAGACCTGAACAGCACAGTCGCTCAACCTTATTTAACTGATATTTAAGACAGAATCCAACAGCAGAAGAATCCACATTCTTATCAAACTCGCAGAGAACATTTACGAAGATAAAGTATATCCTGTGTCATGAAACATAGCTTGACAAAATTAAAAGACTAAAAATCACACACAGTATATTCTCACACCAAAATGGAATTAGACTAGAAATTAACAATGGAAAACTGGAAAACTTCCAAATAGTTAAACATGAAACAGCACATTTTTAAATGACTATGGTTCAAAGAAGTCTCAAAAGAAGTTTTAACTAGGGGCCGGTCCAGTGGCACAAGTGGTTAAGTGCACGTACTCCATTTTGGCTGCCCAGGGTTCGCAGGTTTGGATCCCGGGCGTGCACCAATGCACTGCTTGGCAAGCCATGCTGTGGCAGTGTCCCATATAGAGTAGAGGAAGATGGGCATGGATGTTAGCCCAGGGCCAATCTTCCTCAGCAAAAAAGAGGAGAATTGGCAGATGTTAGCTCAGGGCCGATCTTCCTCAGAAAAAAAGAAATTTTAACTATTATGCATAGAATGAATATGAAAATAAAACATCAAAATTTTTGTGATAAAGCTAAGCAATGGTTAGAGAGATATTTATAATTTTAAATTAATGTCATAAAATAATATGTCTAAAATTATTAACCTAAGCATCCACCTTACGAAAGTGTAGAAAGAGAAATATAAACAATGTAAAAAGAAGAAAGGAAATAATAAAATTAGAGCAGATAACAACAAAGTTGAAAACAGGAAAAGAGCAGAGAAAGAGAAAATAAACTAAACCAAAAGCTGGTTCTCTGAAAAGTTCAATAAAATTGATAAACCTCTACCAAGGCTAATCAAATAAAAAGAGAGAATAAGATTACCAATATCAGAAATGAAAGAGGGGTCATCACTCCTGATCCTATAGACAGTAAAAGGATAGTGAGGGAATAATACAAACAACTCTATATCTACAAATTTGATATTTAGATGAAATGGACCAATTCTTTGAAAGGCATAAGCTACAAAACTGATGCTAAGAGAATAGGTAACCTGAATAATCTTATATTTATTAAAGAATTTTAATTAATAATTAATAATCTTCTAAACAAGAAAGCATCAGGCCCAGATGGTTCACTGGTGAAATCAATCAAAATTTTAAGGAGAAATAATAGCAATTCTCCAAAATCTTTTCCAGATAATAGAAGTAGAGGGAACATTCCCTAACTTATTTTGTGAGGCCAAAACTACTCTGATATGAAAACTACATGCAGACTTTACAAGAAATGAAAACCATACATTAATATGTCTCATGACTAAAATTGCAAAAATACTTAGCAAATATTAGCAAATCAATTCAGCAATATATAAAAAGGAAAACACATGATGATCAACTGGGGTTTATACAAAGAATGCAAGCCTGATTTGACATTCAAAAATTAGCCAATGCATTTCATCATATGAATATACTGAATAAGATAAACCATGTCATGTTATCAATAAATGCAGGAAAAATATTGACAAAATTAAAAAACCTATTCATGATAAAAACTCACAATAAACAAGGAATAGAAGGGAACTTCCATAATCTAATAAATGGTATATGTGAAAATCCTCCAGCTAACATTATACCTAATGGTGAGAAACTAAACTCTTGTTCCCTAAGATTGTGAACAAAGCAAGCATGTCCTTTCTAACAAGAAGAATAAATAAAAAGAGTAGAGATTGGAAAGAAAGAAATAAAACTGTTTTTATTCACAGATGACATGATTTTCTATGTAGAAAATCCCAAAGAATCTACTAAAAAAAGACAGCTTGAAACTAATAAGCGAGCAGAACAACATCACAAGATACAAGGTCATTAGACAAAACTCAATTGATTTTACATATATGAGCAATAAAAACTTTGAATTTGATGTTATTTTAAAATGTTATTTAAAATAGCACCAAAAAGACTGGATACTTGAGTATAAATCTTATGTATACAGATCTACATCAGGATAACTATAAAAGAAATGAAAAAAATCAAACAAGACCTAAATAAATGGGAGATATTTTGTGTTTGTTGATTGGAAGACTCAATATTGTTAAGATTTCAATTATTTCCAACCTGATCTATAAGTTTAATACAATCCCAATCAAAAACCCAGCAAGTTTTTTGTAGATATCAGTCTACCTACTCCAAAGTTTATATGGAAAGGCAAAGGACATATAATATCCAATAAAATGTTAAAGGGGAAGAAGAAGCAGGAGGAGGGGTGGGGGGAGGAGAGGAAGAAGAGGAGGAGGCTGAAGAGGAGGAGAGCAACAACAAAGCTGAAGGAATCACACTACCTTACTTCAAGACAGTATAAAGCTACAGTAATCAAGACAGTGTGATGGACGAAAGCATAGACACATAGACCAATGAAACATAATAGAGAGGCAAGAATAACATAAATATACTCAACTGATTTTTAACAAAGGTGCAAAGACATTTCATTGGAGAATGGATAGTTTTTTCAACAAATTATGTTGAAATAATTGATCCATATACAAAAAAAATGAACCTAAAGGATGACTTTATGCCTTACACAAAAATTAACTCAAAATGCATCATACACCTAAAGATAAAATGCAAAACTAAAACTTCCAGAAGAAAATGCAGGGGAAAATCTATATGACTTTGGTTTTGGTGATGAAATTTAAGATACCATGAAAAATACTATCCATGAAAGATAAAAATGATAACTTGGGCTTCACTAAAATTAAAAACCTGTGCTCCATGTAAGATATTAAGTGAATAGAAATATAAGCCCCTGACCGGAAGAAAATATTTGCAAATCATATATTTGCTAAAGGTCTTGTATACAAAATGTACAAACACTTAATACTCAACAGTAAGAAAACAGCCCAATTAAAAATGGATGAAAGATATAAACACACACTTCACCTAAGAAGATATAAAGAAGGCAAATAAACACATGCAAAGATGGTCAACATCATTTGTCATTAGAGAAACACAATTTAGAACAATAATGAGATACCATTACCCATGTAGTAAAATGGTTAGAATTAAAGAAAAAAGACTGTCAAACTAATAGCCGGTGAGGATATGGAGCAACAGAAACTCATTCGTTGCTGTTGGGAGTACAAAATGGTGCATCCACTTTGTAAGAAAGTTTATTACAAAGCTAAACATAGTGTTACCTTACAATGCAGCATCATGTTCCTAGGAATTTATCTAACTTATTTGATAAAGTATGTCCACAGAAAATGCTCCACGTGAATGTGTTTATAGAGCATTTATTAATAATTGCCAAAATCTGCAAGCAACTAAGATCTCCTTCAATAGGTTAATGGGTGAACAAACTGTGTTAAATCCGTAGAATAGAATACTATTCAGTGATAAAAGGAATGAGTTAAGAAGACATGCAAAATAATGGATGAATCTTAAATGCATATTGCTCTTGAAAGAAGCCCGTATGTGTGATTCCATTTATATGGAATTCTGGAAAAGGCAAAACTTTAGAGATGGTGTCTTGACATGAGTACAGCCATGTTTGGCGGCTCCATTGACCTACAGCCACCAGCACAAAAAGAAATATAAAAGCTGCTTTCTGCGTGGTGGGAACTGACCCTTCTCCAACGGAGAGAGTAGCAAGTTGTAACATCTCAAGGCTCTTGGAGCGTCGTAGCACGGGATGGACTGGCCATCTGTGCCAGGCTAAGACGATAACCAAAGAGAACAATGCACGTACACAATTACTGGGCTGGGATGTTAGCCAAGGGGCTCAGTGCACGTACGCTACCGATAACCATTTGTGCATGGGAACACTAGATGCTTGCTCTGTAAACTCTGTAACTGCTTATATAAACTGCTGGAGACTGAGACCCGGTGAGAGTTCCACCTGTGGAAGGGACGCCTTGCCTAGGACGTGTGATCCTTGCCCAGCCGTGTCGATTGACAGGACTCTCCCGGCAGTGAGGCGTGGATGTTGTGAGTAATTGATTTACTGTGAAGTAATTGATCTGATGTGTTCTCTTT